TTTTTTTTTTTCTTTTTAACTGGATCGGGTTGAATCGACTCGACCCAAAACACAACCCAAAAACACAATCCTTCAAACAGATAAACACAAAACAATCAAATCTTGAACAAAAACCAAAATCTAGACAACATAAAAAGAAATTTAGAGTTCATAATTTTACTTCTCATTTCCAGCAAAAAGGTGTTAATCAGGAAATAAACTAGACATTTTTTTTTCATTCATTCATTTTTCAATGAACATAGAGAATCTTAACATCATATCTACAAAAAAAACAAACATCCATTGAAAGATCAAAACAAGCATGGCAGATTTTTGAAAGAAAAACATATCTGGATCTAATGGAAGGAATCTTAATTGCACATTATTTAGTTTAAGTTTCCAATTATTTGTATGCTGGGCTTAAGTTTCCAATTCCCGAGTTACTAGTAGGTTTACTGTTAGATTACAACATAGGGTTGACACAGTTGGTCCCTAACGCAATGAGGGTAATAATAGGTTTTTTAGTTTATTGCCGAGCTCAGGGGATTATTGTGCCAACTGTAAATATGTTTAAGTATTTTTTTGTTTTGAAGGGGGGAAGTAGGAGGGATAAGGGGTGGTATTATTTCACCCCTAGGGTAGCTAAGAAGGAGAGTAGGATTTTATTTACTGCGGGTCCTTCATCCATTAAGGGATGGAAGGAAAAATTCTTTTTTGTTGATGACACGGAGTGGGGTAAGGGGGATGCCGAGGTGAGGGCGTTAGCCTCCTAGAAGGCCAAAAGGGCCAACCAGAATAGGTTTAGTTTAAATGAGGATGAGGAGGAAGAAGTGAGGAAGTTGGTGAGGAAGAGGGGAGAGGAATTGAATATCATGGACCTCACCAGCGCAGCATGCATAGAGGCTGCTGAGCTCTATGGGCCAAGCGCCCTGAGTGAAGGTTTGTTTATCATGCACTGTAGCGTTAATTGTAGAATATAAAATTATGACTAATATTGTGTTTCTTGCTTTGCAGCTGAAATGGACCAGTTTTTGAACACTGCTGGAGGAGCGCCCATCCCCAAGAAGCCAAGGAAGAAGTCAAAGACTTCAACCAAGAAAGTGGATGAGGGGAGGACCGGGAAGGAGGTAGTGCCCGTGGCTTCAGCTGAGACGGAAGAGGAGGTGCCAGCGCTGAAGAGGAAGGGTTGGGAGGAGAGGAGGGCACTGCAAAAGAAGCAGAAAGTGGTGGAGGAGGAAGAGGGGAATGGGGTTCCTGAGTTCGTACCTCAGCCTCTTCTTGTTGAGTTGGACCTCGAGCTCAGACGGTTGGAGGAGGGGGCTGAGGTATGGGCTCTTGGGAAGGGGAAGGGCCCTGTTTCCCCTGCGGTGTCTCAGAGCAGCCTGTTCGAGGCGAAGAACGTAATGGGGGCTAGGTGATTCATCAACAGCACCTTCCCTGAAGTGGACTAGCACAACGCGCGGGAGGAGGCTCTGAGGTACGGGGGAGCATCCGTTGTGAAGCACGTCCTTGAGGTACGTTAAAGTAGTGTTGTTGTTTATTTATTCTGTTTGTTCTTCTCTTCTTTCTCTTTGAATTTATGCTTTGATTTGCAGAGCGCGAGCTGGGTGAATGGTCTAGCCCAGGAGTTCAGGGATAGTGTCAAGGAGCGTGCACTCTTGTAGAGGCAGTGTGACCAGCTGCAGAAGGAGAAGGAGGAACTGGAGAAGAAAAACAAAGATCTGCAAGAGTCGCTGGACGAGGTGGTTCCAACTATGAAGCAGTTGGAATAGGAGAGGTCTTCCCTGAGCACCAAGCTCGGCTTCGAAGAGACCAAACGAAAGATCTCTGAAAGCGAGCGTGAGGCTCAGGCGCAAGAACTGAAGCTGATGAAGGAGGCTTTCCTGGAGCTGAAGGGGAACGTGCAGACCTTGGTGCACAATGGAATGAAGGAGCACATCAGCAACTTCATCAGCTCCAGCTCGTTTGACAACATCGTCAACCTATACCGGCTGCCTACTGCCATCATCGCGTTCATGGACTGTAGGAAGAAGGTGAAGGCAGAATATCCCGAAGTGGATATTACAAAGATCACCTTCGGAGCGCAAGAAGACGGAGTGGAGGAAGATGGGGAGAGCATGTCAGCAGACTTCCATCCTCAGATTAAACTGAGGTGGGAGGATGATGCACACGGACGTGTTGTTTTCCCTCTCCAGTTCGACTTTGAGTTCGTGGCAGTGGAGGAAGAAGAGGCAGAGGTAGAGGAAGACGAGGTGGAGGCAGGAGTGGAGGGAATTGAAGTGGGTGAGAGCCAACCAGTTCCAGAAGTGGAGATTCATCCAGTTCCCTCTGACGATGAGCAGCCTCCTCTGCCAGATGAGCAGCAGCCAAGACAGCCACCTCTTCCATCTGAACAGGAGCCAATGGTGCCACCTCCAGCAGAGAACTAATGTTATTTTTTAATTTTTTATAAAGACATTTATAGCTTGTAATCGTTATTTTAATTGAAATGAAAATTTATGTTTGAAATTATGCGTTTGTTTATATTGGCTTTACATTTTTGGTATTATTTTTTATTAGTAAAAGAACTAAGATTGTGATTTGGATGAAGGGCACCCATTTCACAAATGGACTAAGGGGAAGTAAGTCACTTCAGACAAAGTAAAAAGAAGTAAATAACTTCCATGTAGATTAGGAATGAGCACATCATTGTGAACGAACTTAAAAGGAAATAAAGTACTTCACATGGGAAGTGACTTTTATTAGTCAGAAGTGAGGTGTAAGTACTGATTGACCTCGGATACATGAAAAAAAGATAAAATCAATCTTAACAAACACGGAGTGAGAAGCATAAAGAACAGTAAGACATAGATTGCTTGGAAGAATTTCATCAGGGGTAAAATTTTTTCAAATTATTGACATTCCAGACTCTAGGAACTCTTTTTCCTTCAGCGTCTTGGAGAATATAGGCACCAGGATGTGGCACTTCGGCCACGGCATAAGGACCTTCCCAATTTGGGGCAAGCTTGCCAAAACGAGTTTCAAACCCCGTTAAGCCAGCTTTTCTGAGAACGAGGTCTCCTATTTTGAATGTGCGAGGGCGGACCCGTTTATTGTAAAAGTTGGCTAGCTTCTGCTTGTATACAAGAGTTCAAAGCCGAGCTTCTTCTCTGACTTCGGCAAGCAGATCAAGGTTTTCCCGAAGCAGTTGTCCATTTCGTTCTTCATCAAAATGGGTGACCTGGAAGCTTGGGACTCCTATTTCAACAGGAATGACTGCTTCGGTACCAAAGGCCAGGTGGTAGGGTGTTTCACCTATTTCAGTTAATTATAACTTTAGAAGGCGTTTTATGCATTATGGATATTTGCTCTAAGGATGGCAGAAGAAGTGAAATACTATAGAAATTAATCAAATAAACTTGGTTGAAAAGGGTACCTGTGGCAGTTCGGCTCGTGGTTCTGTATGCCCAGAGGACGTTGTTGAGCTCGTCTGCCCACTTGGCCTTATGCTGCTCCAATCTCGGCCTTATACCTTCCAAAATGCATTTGTTAACAGATTCAACCATGCCGTTGGATTCTGGATGATAAAAGGAGGTGAACTGTAATTTGATTCCATAACTAGAGCAGAAATCTCGAAAAGAGGAGCAGTTGAATTGAGTTCCATTATCGGCCACGATCTGATTTGGGATCCCATATCTGCAGATGATCAAGCTGAAAACAAAATCTTCGACCTTCTTAGAGGTAAGACTAGATAAGGGCCGAGCTTCAACCCACTTTGTGAAATAATCCACACCAACAACCAGATGGGTAACACCTCCAACCCCTTTCACGAATGGACCCAAAAGGTCTAGTCCCCACTGTGCAAATGGCCATGGTGCTACCAAGCTTGTGAGTTCTTCCGCAGGTTGGTGAGTCAAATGTGCAAAGAATTGGCACTTCGGACATTTCTGAACAAAGTAAGTGGCATCTTTGTACATGTCTGGCCAGTAGTATCCTTGTCTTAAGACTTTGTGAGCCAGAGTTCTGGCACCGACATGGC